ATATATATATATATATATATATATATATATATATATAATTATTAATAAATAACAGTAATTAATCCTAAATGTAACTGGGAAACAATCTAAAGACACAACTGGAGTGATGTTAAGATAATTTAAGAAATCTTTTGCATGAATATGAATTTTATTAAAATGAAATTCTGTAGACAATTCAATAAAGTACAAAAAAAAAATGTTTTAGGAAAATTATCTGTTGTGTGTCATCCTAGACCCGACTCATGGCCGAGAATTATATTTATTAAGTTTTACCTCCCTGACTTCATCCCTCCTATCTGCTTCATACCAAAAATAAAAAAATAAATAATCCACCAGGAGCCCTGCAGTATAAATAAGATCACCATCATATTATTTAAACATTGTTTTGTCGACTTGCAAAACTCACTGCATGCGACACCTCCACATAAAAGACTGTTACGCTGGTTTCTCAATGCATGAACAGCACGGCTATTTTTTCGGCATGCATGTTCAGAACTTGACCGGAAGCAGAGCAGCGCGGGTATGTTTCTTTTTTTCTGTGCACATGCTCAGTTTGCTTTTTGATTAAACTACACTTCTTTCATCAGCGTTGGTTCGGTTGCACATAGAGAATAACGTCTTTATTTTAGCATTACCGCTCTTAATAAATACACTTTCATATAAAGTAAATCATATCTCAAAGCATTCACACTGGCAACATTCACTGGTGCACGTGCCCCAGTAAATGGGGTCTAGCGACGCCCCTGGTTGTAACCTTTCTTCCAGCTATTGGATTTTATCCATTTGCCAGTAAAACATTTTAGTCTTTTAAAAAAAACTTTTTTAAAACAGTACTCTCTGAAATAAAGGCTAAAACGCTGTCACTTTGGGCAGAACTTTTTCATTTATATTCTTTATATACCTCCCCAGACAGCATACGGATGTGAGCCAGTTTAGGCAGTTAACAAAGAAAGTGACGGTTGGCATTCCGCCACAAGATGGCGACAGGGATCGCATAATGAGTCTTTAGGAGAGAAAAACAGAATTTTCTCAGCAAAAGTTTTAAACTACAGCTAAACAAATCATTATACATCAGGTAAGTAACAGTGTTAAGTCAATCTCTCTCTTCTGTATTTTGTAGTGCTGTATTTATACCTCAGAAACTGGTAGTGTTTGCTTTGTTCTGGCTTTTTTGGGGTTAATTATGTGAAATCCCGATTGCAACTGGGAAATGTCTGTAGACTGATGGCATTTTATGCCGTTCAGCCTTAGAATCTTAAAATGTGAGCAAAAATCACCTGTTTTGTTATCACTTTAGACATTACGCTAGAGAATCATTCAAATACCAGCTCTCTAAAGTGACGTTGGTGAATTAGTAATGACTTCTGCTGTTCTGACGTCAGTTGCAGATGTGAATGAATAGCGAAAGGAAGTAGTTCCTCATACTAACGGATTTTTAGACTCCCTGTGTTTGATTTTCTTTTTTATACACATGATTGTGCCATCAAACTGTTGTATAAACGCAATATCACACTTGTAGCAGTGAGATATGGCTGTATATCATCACACTAAGCCTTAAGGCACTCGGCCTACGGCTTCGATCCAACGCACACCTCCCACCAGTGCCAGTATACAGGCACACCAGACTGCTACTTGTGTGATATTGCTCATATATATATATATATATATATATATATATATATATATATATATATAT